TTAGCTAAAATGTAATTAGCATAAAGAGAGCTATAACCATAGCTCACGGGCAACTTTGAGTCAGTGGATGTAGAACATCAACTGCTACTAAGTTTGATCATTATAACACATTTATTTATTGAACAATTTATTTTTAAATTTAATTAATCATGAGCCAGAATATAATTTTTTTAACTACCTATTTAATCTCAATTATTGTGCCAAACTCAAAAAAAATATTGCTGGTAATTTTTTTTTACCAAAAATGTATTGCTGGTATATTAAAACCTATTTTTATACTTTCATAGTGTTTTGACCCCTTTTTGGGGAGTTAACTATTTGCCCATAGCTGGGACTGTAACAGGGGGTACCACCCTGGAAACACTAGCAATTAAGAGGTGGTTCCATGCTCCTCAAAACCTCCTGATCAAAAGCCTTGCGGACGGATGTAGTTTGTAGGTCAAACTCAAGCAAAAACATTGTTTTCAATCGTTATGAGTCTACCGATTGAATAGAATTTTATTATAAACAATTGTCTTGTAAATGGAATTTTTAAAGCATTCTGAATGTAAAAATAAAGAAAAAAGTGTGCAAGAGAATAAGAAACACTACCAGCCAAAAAAAATAGTGATGTTTTGTTGAAATTGGTTGAAAAAAGTAGGAAATCCGATCCCATATATAAACGAACACACACACACACACACACACACCCACCCTGGGTTTTTATGATAAGTATAACTCAATATGAGTTGTCCCCCTTTCATTCTCACAACAGTGATGCCTCTTAATCGTGTTTTCAAATTGATTTCATGCAAAAACAATTGTGCTTTTTCCAATTTTTGTCACTGTCAGAACCACCGCAAGGTAATTTTACATAGTCCTGTGAAGTTTTGTTGAAATTGGTTGAAAAATGTAGGAAATCCAATCCAATATATAAACGAACACACACACACAACCTGGGTTTTATAATAAGTATGATGATTTATGTGAAGAAATGAAAATATGCCATTTGCAATAAAATTTTCATAAGATAGTTCATTTGCATTTAATTTTAATGGTTCAAAGAATGCCAAGCAGAATGGTTGGCCCTCATGCATATTCACGTCATCAAGTCTGGCCCTCTTTCAAAAAAGTTTGGACACCTCTGGTCTAAATGCTTTCAAAAGTCTTCTTGTCCTTGATATCAAAATGTCTTCTTCTCTACTAACCTGAGTTCTAATTATGCCATTTCCACTATCCATTACTCCATGCATAAGTCCAGATAATCAAAGGAGAGGAGGCTGTGGAGAGCCATAAACCCATTATATATGGAAGAGAGATTAAATTGAACAAGGAAATCGACAAAAATAGACTTTAGTCATATTTCAGTCAGTCAATTATGTGTGATAAATGCTTAGGTGATCATGTATCTTTCGATACATGACTGACGAGGCAGATTTTTTTCTCACAGTAGGTTGCCATTTCTTTCTGCAGTAGACCAGTTGCCATCTGGCTATAGAACTTGATGTGTCCTGCTATTTAACTATAGCTAAGGGGGAGAAGAAGAGGATTCATACCTTTTCCAAGGGTATTAGCATGTAAGTGAATGTAATGGATTTGACTGGAATTTGAACTCAGCTCTCTGATTCCTCAGTCCGAGCCTCTATCCATTACTCCACCGTGAGGACACTAGTTTAATTAAATCAGTTAATTTGGACAAATTATTGAAATGTTGGCACATTTCAACAAGAGAAACAACAAGCAAACTGTTGAATGTTACGTTTAATTTAATACTTATTACTTTAATATTCTATTAATATTTAATATTTAGTGTCTGCATATGTTTGAGTAATCATAGCTGTTTTTTTAAACAGTGTAATGTCTACCGGCCTGTACATTCAAGAGTCTTAATAAAGAAAAAATGCCTTCCAGCAAGGTTTGATCATGCTTTCCCTTTGTATTTTTTAGGGTAATTAAACATTGCTAGATTATGATAGGCTTAATGTTGGTTTCCCCTACATGAGTGTTGCATGGACGAACCCTGCCAGAAGACCTATTTTAAGGCTCTCAAAGACACAGGATGGTAGACTTAAATTTAGAAATCTTCCATTATAGTGTACAACAGCCAGAATGTGAATATAACAAAGATGAGAACAACAATCCAAACAATGTAAATTGTGTAAAGACGAAAGTAAATATTAAAAACAAATTATTAATAATGGCTGATAAAGCTTCATCTAATAAAAAACAAAAATGAAAGTAAATATTAGTCAAAAATGTTTTTTTCAATGTTTTGTCTCTCAAAAAATTGTAGATGAAAGTAAATACCATCAAATAATTAAAAATAATGGCTGTCAATGCTTCATCTAATAAAAAATGAAGTCGTTATTAACAGTTGACAATGCGTTATTTAATGAAAAGAAACTATTTACAGATTAAAAATTAATAAGAGTTGAGTGTTTCCTCTCATAAAAATGAAGACAAAAGTAAATACTATAAAAAACAAATTTGTAGTAATTGTTGACAATATAATATAGGTTTTGTTTTCATACCAACAGGTATTGCAAAAGTATAGTAAAAAAAAAAAAAAAACTTATAACATAAACAAATAATTTCAGATTATAAATAAAATCCATTCATTCCTTAGAAATTATTTAAATTAATCAGTTTAATGCTTTTTAATAAAAAAAATCAAGTGAAAAAATTTTTTTATTTCATTAAGAGGATTATTACACACTTTGATTGTAACAAATCAAAATTTGGCATAGGAAAAGATATTCTTAACTAGATACCTCCACTAATTTGCTGAAAAAAGAGCATACCATGATGAAAAAATGCTCTAAAATTGTTAAAAACAGTTTTATTGTCAAAATCTTTAAGAGGAAAGACCAAAGTATTTTTCAATTATTCTATTACAGTTTTTAATCCTTTGTAGTACATTCAAAATTTTGGTTAAAAAAAATCTCGTTTTTCTTGCATCAGTGGGAGTGGTTGGGTGGATTGCCAAAGATTAGTATAGACTATGGTATGGGCCCAACGAGTTCAGGTAATTGTCTAACCAATGCCCACCTGCAAACTGTGGTATGGTCCTGATCAGTGCCCACCTATGGAATACTATTAGTTTTGATCTGGTATCTAAGAGTCAATTACATTCCCACCGCCATAACGTAGCTTTTCTGTGCCTTTTCTGTAAATACTTTCATGATAAAGTTCTTATAAACTTTCCTCTATGTTACTGAGACTTTATGAATTTAAGTGCAGTATTAGATTGGCAGCAAGGTCTCCTGATTTTACAGTTGAATTGGCTGGATGGAACCGTAAGTTCTATGCTAATAGTTTCTTCTATTGCACTTCTTGCTTGTGGAACTCTCTTCCAGCTTCTTGCTTTCCAGTCAACTTTGACATTCAAAAGCTGAAATGAAATGTCAGTCATTATCTTCTATGATAACCCTCGTATCTTAGTGACTTTATTGCCTTGCTTGGGGTGAAATGATTGAAAAAAAAAAAAAAAAAAAAAATAAAAAGCTACTTGTCCAATCACCCTGTGATACTCATGGAGGGTTAGTAATATTTTTTTCCTGTTACTGTATTAATATGCAGTAATTCTGGGGAAACGTTTATTACTTAATAACAATAGAAAATCGATCCCCCATTTTAAGTCCTATAGAATATTTTAATACTAGAATAATAATAATAATGATCTTTTGAATCCTTTTTTAATTTTTGTCATATGCTTATAATTCCCACTTATTAGGGTGATTTTCTAAGCATAGTTGTGGCACAAGGCTGAAAGTATGGAGCACTCAGTGAGGATTGAACTCACTACTCAGTTGTAATTGTTCTAGCGAGACAAGCTTGGTAACCATTACACCATATTAAGGTACTCATTCCCACAAACTAAAACCAGAAACTCCTTGTAGTTCCTGGACAGTTCGACAGTATTAACATAGGGTAAAACATTTTATGGGTTGTTTGAACACCTCCATGGTATTAACGTAGGGTAAAACATTTTACTGACTGAATCTATATTTTTGAATCTAGTTAAAACTAAATGCTATTAATAACAATAATGCTTTTTTTGGTTCATTATTGGTATTTGTATTCAGTTTTTTTTATTTTATTTTTTTTCCTGAATTAAAAATCAAAAAGGCCACACAAAAGCAGAGATACCTTCAAAGGTATAATAGGAAGGAAGCTTACATTAAGAATGTTAATTATCGTTTTGTACATCTAGAGAAAGACTGTCAAAATTTCAGTTTTCCTGAGCTCCTCCTTGTAATCAAAGCCAAGAACTATGAACTATACACCTCCACTGGCTCCAAGACAAAACCGAAACTTCACTTAGGAACTTAAAGTGATGCTACCTTAAAAGAACAACCAAAGAAAAGCTATCATAAGCCAAATAAAATTCTTTAATAAACTGGAACATTTTTCGTTCTACATCAAAAGTTTCTTGGTATGGTGGAAAAGTTTCAAGAGACTGCACATCTTTGCCACACCCGTTTGTAACAAGAAAGAAAAATTAATGCAATGACATTTTTATGAAAAAAAAAAATGTCTCACCATAGAGCTCTGGTTAGCAAGCTAGCCTTACAAACTATTATTACCATAGTAAGTTTGATCCTCACTATATGCTCCAAATCTATGGCCTTGAACCAGTCTAAGCTCATGAGAGCTACCTTGGTATACAGCTGTGGTTAGCAATCTAGCCTTATAGACCATTATTAGTGTACTACATTTGGTCCTCATTAGATGCTCCAAGACTTTGTCCTTGTGCCAGTCTAAGCTGAAAAAATATTTTCCAACTGCTTAGTGGCTGAGAGAGTTTTAAGCTACCAAATAGTATTAGTCATCACTATTTAGGCTCAGTTAAAAGAATTTTCTTTTAAAAGTGAACAGACAAACTGTCCCCACTGAGTAAATTGGTTATACTTATTATTGATTATTCTTACGCATTGGTCTTGTTTTCATAAACTTGTATGGAAGCCACACATCAAAGAGACTAACATAACCAAGTTAGTTCAAATGATTTTCAGCTTACGCCATATCGCATTGAAACATGAATTCCCATATGATCATCGAAGTTAAACAATGTTGAGCGTGGTCAGTACTTAGATGGGTAACTATTTGGGAATACTAGGTGCTGTAAGCTTGGGTGTATAGGTGGTGTAATGGATAGTGGCTCAAAATTGTTAATCAGAGCTAAATTCCATTTTCATTTGTGTTCTTATATTCACTTATGTGCAAATACCCTATTATAGGTATGTCATTGAGATCTTAATTTTCTTGTTATATATTGAGTTCTTTCTGACTTTTATAAGATTAATAAATTAAGAAAAAAAAAATACTGGTTGAATTTTTAAAAATTGAACTAAAATGCCAATATTAAAATTAAATGTGTAAGTTTTAGAAAATTCAAATCCGTTTCATTTTATCTCAACTTGTAAACATGGACTTTCCTGCCTACAATAAGACAGAATGTCAAAAGGATGTTTTTTGTTTTTTTTTTCCTTTGACACCACTATTATTTTAACTACCTTTACTCCTCGGCAATGTTTATTGTTTTAAAAAGTGATGACTAGGATTGTAATAAAACCTAAACATATGATAAAAGATTTAATATATATATATATATATATATATATATATATATATATATATATATATATATATATATATATATATTTTTTCCTGAGAAAAAATATTATAACACTATTTATTTATCAGATTGTTTAATAGAATAATTTTATATTAACAACATTCTAAAAACTAATACAATATTTATCATTTACCAATTTGTAAATAAGTAAACATGAACGTGATTTTTTATTCATCAATTTATAAACATTTACTAAATTATTAAAATATGTGAACCAACTAGAAAGAAATCCTTATTATTTACCATTTTATAAACTTCGAATCAATTGCCAATTAACCAATGTTCTGCCAGATATTCCAATAAATGATATGATAAATAATGTAAATAAACAATCTAATAAAAGGTGTTTATAATTTTTGTTGTCAATCCTCAAGAACAAAGAAAATTTATAAATTCACTTTCATACGTTTAGGTTTTATTACAATTTTAATCATTGCTTTTTTAAAATAATAAAGGAGTAAAGGTAGTTAAAAAAAGCAGTCATGAGAAAAACAGTTTTTGACAAACATTTTTTTTTTTTTTTTTTGGAAGGCACAAAGGTCCATGTTTGAAGTCTTTTTGTTTTTTATAGGATAAAAAGAAAAAGGTTTCGTTTTGAAAAGCTTTTCAATTAATACTTTCCATATCTGTCTATATTTCTGAGATGAAGTATTACGTACATTTACATTATTCGGACAATTGTCCTCATCTTTGTCGCCATATTTATTACAACGTTTCAGCCGTTGTACGCTCCGGCCTACTTCAGGTGGTTGGAATGTCAAACTGAAGTCTTTATTCCCTCAAGGACACATGGCACAGTGGATAATGGCATTGGTTAGATCCAGTGACAGGACCCAATGAGTGAGTTGAATACCCGGTTAAGACAGTGGAGAACTTTCAGAGGGAAAATTAACAGGAGATAACTGATAACTGACATCCATTAACCATGGCATTTGGAACTAGAACAGTCTACCCCAGTGAGCGAAATAAAAGGTTCAGTTCGACATTCCAACCACCTGAAGAAGGCTGGAGTGTACAACAGCTGAAACATTGAGATAAATATGGCAACAAAGATGAGGACAATAGTCAAAATAATGTAAATAATGTAATACTTTCCATTGACTGAGGGAATTATCTTTGCTTATTTTTTTGAATTATCTTTGCTTATTTTTTTGAATTATCTTTGCTTATTTTTTTGAATTATCTTTGCTTATTTTTTTTTATATTTAATTATCTTTGCTTATTTTTTTGAAGGCTGACAGATGAGTCCTCTCCACTCAATTGACACAAAATCTTACTACCTTCCTATTTCGTTTAGAAATATTTTGTTAAAAATTCTTGTTTCTACAATTTGAGTTGAAGGCAGTTTATGATCGAATAGCATGTCTGACTATCCTGTATCACAAATAGGATCATTTGTCTGCTGACCGAGTTAGCCATTGATCTGAAAATCACTTCGGAATGATTATTTCCTTGAAAACTGAAAAAGATATTTCTTGTTCAATAAGAATTATATCAAATTGATAGTGTTGTAATGACTATTTACAATACTCTAAATTCTTTTTGTCAGGCGGGGGATATAAGTCAGTTGTGCATTGTTAAATGTGAATGACATTAGGGTGAGGTACCAACTTGATTTCAGAAGTTGTTCAACACAACTAGTTTAATGTTCTGGTTTTGAACAATTCAAATGCCAAGATGAATTATGAATTACACATTTCATGGGCACATTGACTCCTATATAATGGTCATATAGTGCCAAACAAGGATTTTCAAGTAGATTCTCATAGTCTTTAATTCCATCTCCAAGGTTCTGATTCTAAATGTGGTTTTATGGCACATTGACTCCTATATAATGGTCAGACAATTGTAGTTGATTGCCTCCAAGGTTTTTCTAAATTTTAAAAAATTCTTTGAAATTATACTTTGACCTTCACTTATTTTGCAAAAAAATTGTTCAAACTGCACACTCATTTTAAAGCTAATTTTAAGATCACAGCATTTGAATTGAGTGTTTTTTTCCCTTAAATCCTAATGAAGACGTATTTTTCTCTTTAAACTGAAATTTTGGTGCAATTTACTCTTGAGGAATAATTCAATGTTTCTTCCTTCCTCTATGAAAGTTGTTTAACATTGGAATCTCTGCAAGCAATTTCACTGCATTTTTCTCATTATCAAGAATTCCTTGGCAGAAAATACCAAAAATCTTTTCTTTAAAATTGGTAGACACACAATTTTTTTTTTTTTTTTTTTTTGCAAATAATTTGGGCAATTCATTGGCTCATTGTGTTCATCAGGAGCTTAAATTTAGGCAATGTTAAAACTCACTGATCCAAACTTTGTGTTAGAACAATGAAGATCTGGATATTAGTTGGAATAATTGTTAGAATAATGGCAGTAGTTGCTTTCAGAACTTCACATAATACTCATAAAAGCTGAAGAATTTGTTGGCCAAAACTTTTCGAAACAAAAAACAAGATGAATAAGGATATTTAAATAAAGAAATAATGCCACTGAGAACTTTAGACAATATTTGAAATCTGATTTAAAATTACAAAGATGAGGATATTAGTCTAAAATGATAGAATAATCTTAATACTCAAACAAAAAGTAGTCTTTGTTGTTCCAACTTGTCAATTTTTGATAGAACCAAAACATGAAAGTGAATTTATACATTTTCTTTGTTCTTGAGAATTGACAACACTAATAATAAACTTGAAACACTACTTATTTATTAGATTGTTTACTTACACTATTATATTGTTTATTGGAATGGTTAGCAAAACATTGGATAATTGTCAATCATTTTGAACTTTTGATAAAATGGTAAATTTCCTCAGAGTTGATTCGCATATTTTCATAATTTGCTAAAAGTTTTAAAATTTGTGAAGAAAAAATTGTTTTCACATTTATTTCTTTATAAATTGGTAAATGATAAATATTGCATTAGTTTTAAATGTACAGGGGGTCTTCGACTTATGTCAGAGATCCATTCCTAGGTGTGATGTAACCTGATTTTCAATGTATGTGGGAACTCATCTACATAAGCACACCACTGATTGGACTCAAGCATGGGAGCCATAATAAAGGGCAAAAAGTTAAGAAAAAAACAAAAAAAACTACAAACGAAAGATAAGCGAATGTAGCACAATCTGATATAGCATACAGCCGGTGAAGAAACAACACTGTCTTCCTCATATAGCACGGTGTGATGACATTATTATGGGAGATTGTGCCGTAACCACAAAACCCTGTACATCAGGTCAAATGTAACCTGAGGAACTTCTGTATTAGTTTTTAGAATGTTGTAAATATAAAATTATTCTTTTAAATAAGTTTATCAGACGTTATGAAAAGAATTTACATAAAATAAATAAATAATGCTTGTCTATATTATTCAATGAAACGTGTATGAATATATATATATATATATATAAAAACGATGGGTAAATATAGGTAGATATATGAGTAAGTGATTAATCTTACATTAATTGCACAACTCTGAGTTTTCATGCCAAAGCAATTTTCAAGTGCTGGAGTAAATCCAGCACTTGAAAATTGCTTTGGCATGAAACTTGAAGTTGTGCAATTAATGTAAGATATTATGTATATATATATATATATATATATATATATATATATATATATATATATTTTTTAGTTGCATGGATATTCGTTTGTAATCCTGGGTTCCACGCTTTTGCGAACATCAGACAAAATGATGCAAGTTGCCAAAGCAGTTTGTCCGATGATTGCAAAAGCATGAAACCCTGAGTTACAAACTAATATCCATGAATATGTTAGCTCTGTCACAGATATTGAGCACTTTCCACTAAGTACTGTACATATATATATGTCATCACACATTATGAAATGGACAAAGTCCGACAATTATTTTAAGACATTTTTATGTTTATACATTCTTTTTATAGATACAAATATTTAAGTAAATGGTCTGTTTATAAAAAACAGTATTAACATTTACTGGCCTGAATGTTTGGGAAATTTTCATAGAAAATATGCATCCTCCTTTATTATAAACAGAGCATTTACTTAAATATTTGTATCTATAAAAAGAGTGTATAAAGTATGATGTCATTTGTTTACATTTGGATACGCATCGAGCAGATATGAATGTATAAGAGAAAATCATGTAGAATTGTAGTTTAAAAACAGTAAAATCAACCCTTCTAACCGAAACGCTCCTCTGCAGCTCAATGTGTAAAAGCACATCTAGCTATATGACGGTTCCATATAGTATAAAGGGTCGATTCCTGTTGGAGGACACATTTTCTATGAAAATTTCTTGAACATTCAGGCCGGTAAATGTTGTTAATACTGTTTATTATAAAACAGAGCATTTACTTAAATATTTGTATCTATAAAAAGAATGTATAAACATAAAAAATATCTTCTCCAAATGAGAGAAACAACAGGTGGAGTATGAATCATGACGCATTTGTTGCTGAAATATTTTCCACAATCGTCAATGATGGCCTGTCTATGTTCCAG